AAAAAAAAATTCGTTATAGAGAAAATTCGTTATAAAGAGAGTCATTTTATATATAAATTTTTCTAACTTTAATTCGTTAAACATAGTACGAATTTTTAATTACTAAATTCAGTATAGTAAGGGTTTTTTTATATTTAAAAATCTGTCTGACACTGAAAATCCGTTATATTGTAAAATTCGTTATATCAAAATTCGTTGTAAAAAGAGTTGACTGTATTATTAAAAGTTTTAGAACTAAAAATACAATTTTTAAATATTATGAATATCAATCATTCTCTTTTTTTTTTTTTTTTTTAATTATATTTTATTAAAATAATTTTATAAATATTTACTAATTATTATTGATAATAAAATATTTTTTTATTTTTATTTTATAAATAATATTTATATAGCATTTAATAACTTTTCATTAATTGATCTCTATATAATTATCAAACTTATAATATTATCTATAATTAATATATTTATAGCTTAATACTACTAGTATTATTAATAAATAAGTTACTTATTACCTTATGTTATTTATTATACTATATTATACTAAAAATTTTTCATTCACTTTGGACCTATAATAGGTTTTATTTTTTAGTATAAACTAATTATTTTATCTATCTAATACAATATTAGTTTAAATAAAATATTATTAAAGAGTTCTAACCTTATTTTAATTGTGTATTATAATATAAAATTTTCTTAATAGATTTTAATTGTTTAACTTAACAAGTAATTAAATCATTAATTTTTGGTTTATTTTCAATTTATAAATATAATTTTATAATATAAAGATAATGAATTTAATAAGAAATCTTTTATTAGTAATACATTATAATTTAAAGATATATTATTTAATAATATTTTAATAAGTTTTCTGATCTTATTTTTTTAATTAAAATTATAGATAAGAGATGAAACCTCTTAATAATAATCAAAACTTAAACAAAATTATATTAAAATCATAATAAAGGATATGATAAAATTCTTTTAATATGATAAAAGTTAAAACTATTAAAACTATATTAAAAATATAGAAAAGGATATAATAAAATTATTTTGAAATAGTTTCAATAAGCATTTATAATTAAAATATATTTTTAAAAAGTATAAATAATTTTTTTAATATTTAAATTTCTTAAAAATATAAAATTTTTTTATTATTTTATGTAATTATTTAAAAATTAAAATTTTAAATATTTTATTTTAAAATTTTTTATTCTTTATATAATTGGATTCATAGTAAAAGGTGGGATTCAAACAATTATATAATTTTTGAAATTTTATGATAATTATATACTTATTAATTTATTCTTATAGAAAAATCTATTTTTATAATATATTAGTAATAAAGTCTATAAATTAATTTTTTCATTGTATTATAGCTATAAATTTTATAAATTATATTTTAATAAAGATAAACTTGAAAAAGATTATAAAAAAAATTACAATTTGACCTTTTTCTTATAATATTAATACTTTAAAGTAAATGTTTTTTAAAAGATTGCTTATATATAAGTTATAAAGAGTATTTTTAAAAAATTTTAATAATTATGTAAAAATTATATGTAAAATCTTTATCTATAATTATCTTAAAATTATATAACTGTCTAAGTCTCATTTTTTTGCTATGTATCTGTTAATATAATTAATTCTTAGATTACTATATATAAATTATATTTTAGCTATTTTATTTAATATTTATAAACTTATTTATTTATCTATAATATTTATCTTACCTTTTTTTTGAAAAATTTATTAAGAAAAATCATTAAATTATTTTAGCTAATTGAAATTAAATTTTGGATTTAATCTTGATAAAATTTATATAAATTTTTATATTTATATTCATTAATTAATCATTTATTGAAAAAATATATTTTAAAGAGAATAATAAAAGTAAGAAAAAAAATTAATTATTAATTAAAAAGGTAAAAATAAAAGTTAAGATTTTTATAATTTAAATAAATCTTAATAAAACTTATAAAATTGAAAAAAATTTTATTATATAAGAAATTTTGATATTAATTTAATTCTAAATCTCTAAAAAATCTATATAAATAAAAAAAAAATATTAATTTTATTTAAAAGATATACAGTCAATACTTAATATAATGAATTTTAATATAGCAAATTATTTGATATAGTAAATTTTTAGTGTAAAATAGTTTTTAACATATAGCGAATTTTACTAATTATATTTGCTATAACCTTATGCAAAGTTAAGTTCTTAAATAATATATGAAAATGACACTTGATATAATAAAATTTTCTTATAACAAATTTTTTTTTACTATAATGAAACATGTGATTTTATAACTCAATTTTTATTGGTTAATTAGTTAATTATATTATAAAAATGATTTAATTTTAAATTACAATAACTCAATCAATATTAATGATACAGACATAAAATATATATCATTCGAATCCTCTTAATGAGACAAATTTAATGATACTAAAATTATAAAGATCTAATCATTGAATGCTTAGATCAATCAAAATATCTTTAAATATTCAGTATAAAATATATCTATTAATATTGATGCTACAGATATGAAACATCTACCATTTGAATCCTCTCAATGTGGTATATCTAATAACTTTAAAATTATAAAAATCTAATCATTGTATTCTATGATCAATCAAAATATCTTTAAATATTCAGTACAAAATAACTCTATTAATATTAAAGCTACAGATATAAATTATATACCATTTGAATTCTCTTAATAAGACAATTCTAATGATACTAAATTCATAAAATTCTAATTACTAAATGCTAAGATAATCACAAAATCATATTTTTATTTTATATGATATAAAATTATATAATATTATGTTCAACAAATTTTCTTATAATGAAGGCCTAATTGGCCCAAACGCTTACTTAATTATATTGAGTGTTAACTGTAAAAAAATAGTTAAAATAATAATATAAAACATTATCCTTTTTTTTAAAATATATCTTATATTCAATTATTGATAAATATTATATTTAAATAAATATATTAAGCTAATTTATTATTTTTATATATAATATATAAAGGTAAAATATATAAAATATTATTGATGATATAAAAATACATTATTTTTGATTTTAAAAAAAATTTAAAGTTGTTTAAACATTTAAAAAAATTTATAATATTCAGAATTTTTTAATAATATAATTAAAGCTTTTTATAATATAATGGAGATTTTGAATTTATATGTAAAACTTTTGAATTAATATAAAAGTATAATATTATAATTTAAATGATTAGCTTTAATAATTATCAATTATAATTAAAATTCTCAAATATTTTATATATAATTCAATATGCTATTGAATTAATATCATTAATTTTAAATTAATAAGAATATTAGATATTTATTGAAAATTACCAATTATTTAAATAATTATTATATATATCATTAGAATTTCAAATAATACTTCTGACATTGATTCTTTGAAATAGTGAATAATTTCTGAAAAAGTATTAGATTAGAATGAGTAGAGTTTATAAAATATAAGTATTTTATTAAAAAGAATAAAAAGACAATAAGAAAATAATTTCTTTTGCTATTTTTTTTTTACTAATACAGAATGGAAAAGAAGTATGAAGAACAAGAAAACAGTTACAGATTTCTCATTTAATTTAAGTCTATAAAATTCAAAAAATTTTAATAATGAAAAATGAATTAGTTTTACAACTAGTCAAGAAGCTTATGTTAAAATAATTTATTAGAATGTACATGGATAAGTAACATTTTCCGCAGTGTCAAGTTTGAGAGAATTTGAATCCTTCTGTTAAATATGGTAATAATGAAATTATAGTATGGAGATATTTTTTTGCAAAGGATTAGTTCTATTGGCGAGAGGACTTTTATTCACTCAAAATTTCATAATTGACCTTCAACATGGATTACAGAAAAGAAAATAAATTAAGACGTTACCCATTGAACATCTTTAGTGTCGTCTTGATTATTACTTATGGATCTTCCTAAAAATCTTGCGTACTTAGAAGTTCAATTAAAAGAAGAATGGGAACAAATTTCAAGAGAAAGTTATTTGATAGCATGCCTCGGATGTACAACTGATAATGGTTTGCCAACAAATTATAAATTTAATGAATAATTAATTATTTTTTAATTTTTAAAAAAACAACATAAACTTATTTCCACCTGGTATCCATTACGAATTTTACTACCTATTAACATTAGCCGTATAACATACCTAGAACATTTATTGTTTATATAAACAATAAATGTACCAGATATGTTATTTCGGCTTAAACGGTTTAAACCGTCATATTATGAAGGCATGTTATAAATATGACGAGTATTTATTACGGTATATTTGACGGTATATTTGCGACGTTATTCCGTGATATTATAATTTATTCTGTTATATTGCCCTTTCTTTGTCTTATTGGCGCTCTTGATTTCTTTCTTATGGTCCGGTTGTTCAACTTGATTTGAGTTCATTTTAGGAATCTTATATAAATGATTTAATTTATCCAATAATAATTCGATCTTTTATAAGAATGAATATTTTATTTATCGGAGCTAATAAAATACGGCATCTTCATAAATGATCGGCAAAATAAATTGATAAAGGGTGCTTATTTTCGGGATTTTTACAATAACGGATCGCGGTTTTTTTTTTAAATCGAATAAATTAAAAGAATATTTACATTTATTAATGATACAATGCAAAAAAAAAAAAAATTATACAATAATTACAATGATCGAAATGATTAAAAATCTTTTTTCTGAGGGGATAAATTTTATACGATGGTATCTCTCCAAACCTTTTCATCGGTTTCTAACTTGACATCTTTCCACATTCCCAATGGATCACTTTCCGGCATTTTAATGCGAATTGTATTTTCATCATCGCTATAACAACTACTCGTACTTTCAATATCATAAGATTTTTTATATGATCCTTCCTCAATATCTTTCTCATAAATATCCTTATAAACAAATTCTTCTTCTCCAAAATTAACCCTAACTTTACATTTTCCATTAGCGCCAATAGAAGGAAATAAATAATATCTTTTTTCAGATAAGATGTCTTGTTCAACTTCTGCAGTGAATAATGAGCCTAAATCTGTTCCATTAAGTGTAAAATAAATTTCACCCGAAAGAGGTTTATATCCACATCCCACGGTGTAATTAACTTTGTTCCATGATGGTCCATACTCCCATCCATTATATATTGAATTTTGAAAAACCTCTCCTGAATTTGAATGATAACCTATTGAACGTTCCGTATGACCTGGTAACCTTTTTTTTTTAAAAAAAAAAAAAAAAAGAAAAAAGAGGAGAATTAATAAGAGACGAATTGAATTTAAAAAGGATAGATATATAAAATTTCTTACTTGTAGCAAGGAAATGGTTTCGTGGTAACGCCAATTACAATATTTGTATGAGAATATTCTTTTTCTAACACGGTAATTTCAAAATAATTTAATCCATCCCCATCTTCATATTCTTTTAGTATTTCCTCTATTTTTGGAATTTTATGAACGAATTGTTGTTGATATTTCTTTTTTTGTCTAATCTTCTTTTTGATTCTATTGCTAATAGACTGATTTCCTTCATCCATCTCATCATCTTTCTCGTCTAAAGTTTCTTTATCACTTTCAGTTACAAGTTTTTCGTTTTCGTTCAAGACATTAACGTCATCAACATCAACATCAATGTCATTCTTCAATCTTGATGGCAATGGAACGTAAAATGGATAATTTGATTGTACACAAGCGTCCTTTACCACGCTACTCCAAAATTCAGGATCAATTTCAATAATTCTTCCTCTATTGGTCACCTTTATGGTATTCATTTCTTTTACAACCGCGTCAGGTAAAAATTCCCACGGCCTGTTAAATTTTTTAATAGCTTCATCTAATGAAATCGGTTCATGTTGAATTGACAAAGGGGAATTTATAGAGATTGAGAGGGGAGGGGATAAAGGACCATTTTCTACAAAGACTTTATTCTCCTTGATACTTTTAAGTTGACGTGTTGAAGAGGTGTTATTATTGGAATCAATCATGATGGCATTTTCTAACGAATTTATGAAATGATTTTGTAACTTATACTTGTTATTCGAGATAAGGTATGAGATTGTCGTCCTCGTCCTTTTTAATAAGGTACGTTGATCAGAAATTGGATGTAGTTGGTTCCTCTCGGATATCGTGTGTCGATTTCTAACGAAAGCATTTCTCGGTCTGGTCAAATCATTCGTCATCGAAACCTCCGAACTGTGATTATCCATGAGATTCCCATTACAATGATTCGCATTGAAAAGATTGTTATGATTAATCGATTCCGGATTTTCTAAATCGACGACGGAATTGGTCCTCCTCCTCTTTGATAAATAAACACATAAAAATTTTAACAAGATGAGACAAATTAATATAGGCACAAAAATGAATGCTATCGTTAAAATGCATTGGTCCGAACATTCAAATTTATGCTGATTTGATGATGGGGAAGATGAAATTATTGTTGGTAAAGGGTTTGATGATGTGATTGCGGGAGGAATTAAAGAGGACGATGCTTGTGATGATGACATAATAAATTTTTTTTTCAAGAAAATATGGAAGGAAAATTATAATAATAATAATAATAATAATAATAACAATAATTAATAATTAATAATATGGATTATTGTAAGCTACGTGATTTTTTTCAATCAACGTAATCAATTAATTTAATTTTATTTAAAAGGATTTTTTAAACTTGAAAAGGGAGAAAATAATATATGTAATTTTTCTTTTTTTTTTTTTTTTGATTAAGAAGAAAATAAAAAAAACTCGAAATTAAAAATATCCTTTTTTTTTTAATACGTGTTGTATCACATGTTTCAAAGGGAAACGTCTTTATTTTGTTAAAAATATCAAAATAAAAACAGAATTAAATGTCCCAAAATAAAAACAAAAAAAAACAAAATAATAAATCACCATTCAAACTTATTTATTGTTTATTATTTGACCTGAAAACGGACTTAACTCCATTTAAATTTTTTTTTTTTTTTTTTAACTCACGAATTATCATAGTCGACTACCTTTTCAATCAATGTTTCCTTCAATGAAATGACAATCAGAAATCATTTAAATTACAAAATCGAATGCCGTTATTGTTCATATTACTAAATTTATCAAACAAATGATCATGAATCTTTTCGAAGTAGGATCTTATGAAATTAGAATTAACCTTACAATAAAAGGTATCCTTTTTACAAATGTGTGGGTAAAAAGTTATGCGCATCCGTTTATATTGATCAATCAAGATGGAAACGTGTCAATCATCCACTTATAACAATGAAGGGATTAATAATACATTATTAACCTTCTGTCAAAAAAAAGTGTGCTCGCAAAAATTTCAAGGGTAACAAGAACTTTACCAAATCGTATTCGTTACACCTGATGAAATTGTTCTCTCGGAAAATTAAATAATCTCCAAAAAGAAAAAAGGTTTGGTCCGCAACTCCGATATTGTTCGGAGGAAGGTACAATAAAAATACCGAGTCATATTTTGTCTGTCGTAAACCATTTTATTAATGATCCAAATTTGGAAAGAACCTTATATGATGTACCGTTCGGTTCGATGAAATTAAAAACCTTAAATTCATTTAATCACCTTATTAAAAAATGGGTTGACCTAAGAATAGATAAACCTTTTTCGTTGTGCCAAAGTTATTTCACTGAAGGAATCGAATGAATATGCTGCGCATTCCTCCTCTTTAAGAAATATTGTTATGACCTTTTCAAACGTTATTGGTGGGAAAAAAAATTTTTTTTTTTTTTAAAACTAAAATATTATTATCGATATTTTTAGATGTGTAATTTCGTGATTTTCCAGATTGATCATTGTTTGCCTAATTAAAAAAAGTTTATGGTCCAGAATGGGATGGAAACCGTAAAATCCATACAAAGAAATGTTATAAAAAAAATCCACCTTATCTACTTTAGTTTAAGTTCCAAAGATATATATAAATATTTCATTTATTTTCACTCCAAAAATAATACCCTACATCATTATTTATTTATTACTTGATGATCATCAGCCTTTTGTCTTACTAATCTTGTAAATCTTGTGAGCCATTTACTTAAAACGTTAGATTTATAATCTTGGTAATTACGATGGGGGAAAAACTTGGCATAAGATTTTTTAGATTTCAGAAAGTTCGTTTCTCTACGGTATTTTAACATCTCTTTTCCGACAATTCCGAAAAAACTTTCCACCGAGTACATCATTTCAAGATCGATAAGGGTCCTTTGTACGGAATTCATTTATTTATTCGAATCGTCCATTCAAGTTCAACACAATTTAAAAAGAGCAGTTTTTTGAAACAGTTATACAAATGAGTTGTTTACTGAAACCTGTAACAGTTATCAAACACATTATTATTATGTTTGAAACGTTTTCCTAGGAGATCGGCACATCGCATTGAAGGCACGTGCTAAAGTAGCTCAGTATCTCTGGAAAAAAAAAACCCATTCCTCTAATCAGAACCCTTTGATATTTTTTTTCCTTTTTTTTTTATGATTCAATTCCGTGAATCGGCATTGTGTATGATCTAATCAAGAGGAATTGTTTTTCCATGTCATTTAGAGACACCTTTCTTGTAAGGAGGGAATGTGGTGTTACTTTTATTTTCTCCAACCATCATCACATAAACAATTTAATAAATTTTGAAACGTAAGAGCAAATTCCGATGTCACGTAACCTTCCATCTTTGACCTGTGCATAAATGCGCATCGTACGACAGGAAAGGTGTTACACAGACCGTTGCCAACTTTAAATTAAATTTCATTATGAGTAGTATTCTTTAATAATCCTTATTAATCTATATTAAATTTTTTCATTGTTTGAGTCTCATCCTCATTTTGGCATTGATGTACCACGCACATAAATCGCCTCGCATCTTTTACTTTTGCTTGGTTTGATCAAGTATAATAAGACTTATTATTAATAGAATTTAAGTTCCAAAATGCAAATAATATAAAAATATGATACCTAAAGATTTATTACGCGTTTTGTTTTTTTTTTTTCTTTCGAGTAATACCCGAATAAAAAAAAAATTTTTTTATTTTGAATTACCTTTTTTTTTTTTTTTTATTTTATTATTATTGTTATTGTTAGAATGGACAAGATATCTTTATTTTTATACGTTCATTCTCCTTTTTCTCCTTTAGAGTACATCATCAAGAAAAAGTATATAAAGGAATATGAAATGAGGGGAATTGGATTTTGATAAGGAAAAAAAAAATAAGGATCCAACCATTTCTTTTTTCCTTTTGCTCTCTTCATTGTCGCATTACTCCATTTGTGCGTGAATATATTTTTATCTACACAGTATATAATATATATATATATATATATATATATATAAAAAAGACCTTGTTCCTCTTTTTTTTCCTTTCTTCTCTTTACGTAGAAATATATATATAGAAACCGTATTAAAAGACGGATAAATGATGATTCGAATGAATTCGTTTTCGTTAATTGTCATTTTGATTAATTCACCATTGATATTTTCACAAGAAATTGATCTGGGTGATCGTGATGATAGTAGATGCACCACGGCAAAGTGTATAATCACATTCATATTCTTAATATTGATATTATTCACCATCACGATATGTTGCTTCTATTCAATTCACAAGAAACGACAAAAGTTAAAAAGTATAACGAATGCGACCAGCAAAAGCGTTACGGTGGACACTACTACGAACGCTATGTCACAGTCGGTCAGTAGCAAGAGCACGGAATTAGATTTGGAGAATAATTGGATAACGGACGTTTACTCTAATAAGGATCTCCTTGGGTTGAAAAAGAAATTTTATAATTTTGACAATGATTCTTTACAATCGGTACGATTATCCCCGGAAGATAAAAAGAATACGTCCATCACCAACGGGGCGAAAGGTGGTAACCTAAGTCATGTCGTCGTGTCACCCCCGAACGCTTACCACCCGATTTCCCCGATCGTTGCCTCCCCACCAGCAAATTCCACTCATACCTCGCCACCGGTTAAAGATTTAACAGCAAAGGCCTTGGAATTTTTAATCAAGAATCCACCAAAGGATGTATTACCGAGTCAAGAAGAGGTTCATTCCATATTTAAGGTGCATGAAAATATTTATTTAAATCCCTACTCTTCGTGGAAATTCGCCATAGGGGCAAACGTCGTTGAGGAAAGTGGGGTGGTACAAATAACAAATTATGGAAAGTTGGTGGAGATAAATACCAGAAAGTGGAGCAGCGTTACCAATAACGTTTGCGTGCAGTCAAATTATCCTTTCTTCATCCCCAAATCATCCACCATAAGGAGGAATAGTATTTCCTCTACCATTGATAGAGCACAAGGCACCACCAACCCCAATACGCACGTGAAAAGGAATAGCAACAAGGTCAATGAGGATGTGATGCATTATTTTGAGGTGACCGTCGTGTCTAAGGCCACTGACGTCGACACCATCATTTCCATTGGTCTTTCAACGAAACCGTTCCCTTACTTTAGGTGATTGATTATTTTTAAATTATTTTTAAATTTTATTTTTATTTTTCACTTTTACTGACATCATCTTTTTTCGCTCGTAGGTTACCCGGTTGGAATAAGCATTCCGTTGGATATCAATCAAATGATGGTCATCTATACCATAATGAGATCTCATCCTCCAGAGAATATGGTCCCACCTATAACGTGGGAGACATAATAGGGTGTGGCTATAAACCATCGACCAAAGAGGTGTTCTTTACTAAAAATGGGAATTACCTCGGTGCCTACGCACCTTCCAGGAACCCTTTTATTGAACCCAAAGATGACGAGAATAGTTTAGATCATGTCTGGTATCCTACGATTGCCGCCAATGGACAATGTAAATTAGAAATCAATTTCGGTGGTGACATCGTAAAGGATATATTTAAATACAGATTGGCAAGGAACTTTGGTCCCGGTGCCCCTCTTTCCATCGTTAAACAATTAAGGGGTGGTGAATTAATAGGTAGTTTTGAAAAATGTAAATCAGAAAACGTTGAATTGGAACGTGTGGGGTTGAAGTGATCTTTATACCGTTGGGGGAAGGGGAGAAAAAAAATCGGCAAATATCTACTGGATAGATGTCTCCTTTTTTTTTTTTTTATTAGGGAGCTTTTCTTTTTGGGGACGTTAAAACGTCGAGTCACAATATGAAAATATTTATTTATGTAGTATATTTTGTAATGTAGATAATAATATTATATTTTTTCGTATTCTCATTGGTCTTTGTTCCCTAAAGAACAAAACATAATATATATATAGTTGAACTATTAAATTAGTAGGCATCACGTACTAGTGATGTGCGTGGCGCAGCATTTCACGAGTTCCAAAAGGATCATATGAATCATATGAAATACGCCCAACGGGAATGCCCCAACCTGCGGGCTAACGAAATGATCTTTACACGTAATTTGAACGAAGTTTCTGGATACCGCACGTGAAGAAAATCAAAAATCATTACATAAAAGATTAATACAAAAGAGGAAGTTCCATCACCATTGATTTACTATGTTTAGGTTCAAAACTTCGCATAATAAAAAATGTCTATTTTTTCTCATGTGCTTGAAATTCAATATATAAATTGTTTGGTAAAATGATCATGAAAAAAAAATTTTTTTTTTTGTTGTGTTCCCTCCAATCAAGAACGAAAATAAAAAAATCAACATTTGTCATTTGTTATTTAGCGTGAGATTTCTTTATTCTTGGCAACAATTGGTTTGGTTTTGGTTATAAATAGAACCAAACTTCTCTTTAACCATTTTATTTTTTTTATTTTCCTTTGAACCACAGACAAAAAATATGAATAACTCAACATCATCATCAATCTCATTTAATAATCCATCATCATCATCATCATCCAATGATCCGAACAAATCGATTGACACGACCATATGTGACGAAGAAAAACGGGTCAAATTTGTTGAAGCTCCCACGACGGAGAAACGAGTAAAACGAACTCCGCATAGGCGTAGAACACCTTACGCTTGGGATGATCAACTTCGACCCATATTTAATGATGAGAAAGTTGATAAGAAGGAAAAAGGGAATAAATAATCAAATGGAAAAAATCATCAAATAGGAGGAGATAGTTTGGTCTTTTTTTTTTGTTTTTTTTTTGCTTTGGGGCGTTTTTTCATCAGAATATTTTTTAACAAAATTGTAAATAAAAAATCATTTTTTGGGTATTTTTTTTTTTTGTTTTTGTTTATCAACAAATCACCTGAGTAATCTGTTTATATGAACATTTCATCATCGCCCAACGCTGTTCAAAAAAAAAAATTGTAACACCGGCGCCATTTTGTTGAAAAATTTAAAAAAAAAAACCTAGTACCGATATATGACGCAAATTCTACGGAAATCCGAATCCTTTTTAGGTTTACAAATTAATAAATAAACTTCCCAACCTGATTTTTTTTGCTCCCTCCCCTTTTCTCTCGTCCCTTAACCTTTTTTTTTTTTACCCCCAATTAAATAATCAAACTTCAAAAGGAAAACGAAATAATAATAAATCCAGATAAAATTCCTGAAAATTTTTTTTTTTTGATCGGATGATTCAAATGACAAAAATAGTAATCATCATTGATTAAATGAGCTTTTTTTGGCACAAACGGATCTCTTCCAAAAAGATTTATAATAATCCAAATATAGAAAATATAGATCCCTCCAAAAAAAACAAAAAGGTTTTATCGAAGAATTTTTCCAAACGTGTGAAAAAAAAAGTGTAAAAAAAAACGCTATTGACGCCTTAAAGATTTTTTTTTTTCCGGCGGTTTCCTTTCTCCCGATGAAAAATCATTCGTTGTGGACCATCTCGGCTTCGGAAAACAATATTTTAAAAAATGACAAAATTTTATTAATGATAAGCACGGAATTTGGGTGGGACACGAAAAAAAATCCCCCCCCCAATTGGCACGCGCGCGTTTTTTACAGGTATCTCGGATTTGTATTAACAGGATTTACAACCTTATTGTTCTTGAAATGTATTCTAATATTCTAATTCTATAAAAAGAATTGGAACAAAGCGTGAAACGAGCATCGCGTTACTAAGATCTACAGACGTAAAAATATTCCATTAAACAAAGAAAAAAAGTTCAAAGAAAAAAATTTTTTCGTTCTTTTATTTGTGTTTTTTGTTGTGATTATATATATATATATGCTTATGTGATATCATCAAGATAACAAATCGAGGGTGAAAACGAGATTATTGCCAATAAATTAAGGGAATAAAAATTTTTTTGCTTGCCATTTCCCATTTTGCCAAATGTAGAAAAATAAAATTATTAATAATAAATGAAATAAATGATTTTTTTTGAAAAAATAATAGGATTTAAATAAAAAAAAGGTTAATAATAAAATAAATATAATGATTTTTTATTAACATGAAAGATTTTTTTCTTTTGTTTTTTGTAAATGAAAGAATAAAAAATTACACGAAAAAATAAAATAAATAAAATAAAATCGAAAACGTTTTAAATAAATAATGGGGGGTTTATTTTTTTTTTTTAGTGATCAAAAAAAAAATGTTTTAATTATTTCAGTTTGGTCGAATGCGTAAAGATAAAAAAAGGAATCTATTTAAAAAGAAATATGAATGATATATGAATTTCTCCCTAGGTGAACCAAAAATGGAGGTGGGATGGTAAAGGTTGAAGTTCGGATGTTGATGAAACGGAAGATCCCGTCTTTGAGAAAAATGTCTGTGAAAGAACAAAGACCAGACTAGCGGGTCAAATAATTTCCATCGAGCCTTTTTCTCTTACTTTTATTAAAAGAAATGTTCTGACCGGAATCCCCCAACTGAGGTGACCTAGAGGAAATTCAAACTAATGCATCAATTTCTCTATATTTTTAATTACTTTACAGCACTGTGAAAATAATTTCAACCTCCCAAATTAAATTCATCTAAAAAAAAAAAACTAACTAATCTATGAAAAAAAGAGAGGTTTTTTTTTATAAAATCCATAATAAATATATAACTAAAAAAAATAAAATAAATGAAAAAATGAAATGAAGCGAAACTCTTGATCTTTCCAAGAAGCTCCTCTCATAACAAAAAAAAAATTAGGAATTTTTTTTTTTTATCTTAATCGTACTAAATCTCTTTTTTCCTTTTTTTTTTTTAAAAAAAAAAAAGAGATTAATTGATTTCCTTCATTTCGTTTTATGTCATAGATTTAAAAAAAAAAAAATATATTCCATCCAATTCGCTCACGTAAAAAGACAGAACCCTCTAATGATATACTCAAAAGCTTATTTTATTATATATATTTTTTTGATTTTTGATTTTTAACGTCTATAAAATTGATAACTAAGTAACTTTTCATTCGATCGAAATAAGCGAAATCCCTTAATCGATGAAATCAAGCAAATATGGTTTAACGAATTAAAATAATTTTTTTTTTTGTTTTGCTTTAATTGCTTTTTTTTTTTTTTTTTTTTTTTTTTTTTTTTTAATGGAGTATATAAGAGAGGGTTCGTTTAATACGTCTAATTTTCTTCGCGATATAGTTAATTGAAATCGTAAGGAAGCGAAAAAAAAATGAAGAGAATGGAAAAGCATAAGGAAGTAATATTAATAAAAAGAACTCGACAAAACTCGATAAAAAAAAAAAAAGAAACGAATCCACCAAAAAAATTATTGTTTGAAATAAAGTATATACAAACACCCTCCAAATCGTGTATTTAACATGTTTTACAAAGAGGTTTTTAATAAACCCCTCAAGGTGTTATACATAAGTATGTGTGTGTGTATGTGTGTATATATGGGTGACGGAAATAAATAAGATTAAAAAGGGGAAATGCAAGTTTTTAATAATGAATGAATTATAAATACAGGTCTAAAAGATGAGGGAATTTTTAAACGAAAAGGGCGCGTTTGTTTTATATTTTAGGTCATCGTTACAGATAATGGGTGGAATTTTTCTTCGTTTCGGTGGAATCCTTAATCCTTTGCTTAATAACTACTTTTCACTTGGATCAATGAAAATTGAAAGGACTAATGATGATTAACAATTAATACTAGATTACCCAAATGTGCTAAATGTGTTAATAATATTATGATAATGTAGGAATTTGAATGAGACAGAATGACATCCCTTTTTTTAGTTGCCCAAGAAAAAAGCAAATCGGACAAATAGAAAGAAAAACTATACATATTAAGGTAAATTACACAAAAAAAAAAGTACGTGGGAAAATAAATAAGAAAAAAAAAAAAAAAAAAGAGGAGGAAGGAAATGGTTCTTTATTGTGTGAAATAAACATGTGAAAAAAATATGTACACTATTTAACCCACGCACATATCTGTCTCATTCACTTTCTGATGCTTAAAAAATGTAATAATAAAACAAAATTGTAATAGAAAAATGTATAATAATATTAATAATAATGTCCATCCCATCGACCTCCCCCCCCCAAAAAAGAATTACAGACAAAAAAAGGAAAAAAAAAAAAACTACAAGAGAAAAAAAAAACTTTTTTTTTTAATTAAACGATACTATATGCGCCTTCTCGAACCAAAACGCGAAGCTGAATTGCTAAAAGGAGGTTTTCCCAAAATTGTGGACGCTGAACTATTTTTCCTTGATCGCAACAGGAACACGCCATTTTTTCCGCGTGTACTGTTACTCTTTTTCACACTTACGTCATCTCCTAATTGACTTGAAGGCCTTGGAGAAGCTGACCTCGGTAGACTTGGTAAAGAGGGGGATCTAGTAAGGGAGCTAAGAGGGATGGTCATGGAACGTCGTGAAGAGGAACGTTGAAGTTTTTGTCGTGGGTCGAATGAAGTCGAGACACTCACAACGGACGCATTACAGTCAGATGTTACAGTTGGGTCGCTAAGATTTGGATGCTTATATGGCTCGGAACTAGGTGCCGTATCCGGTAACGCGCAAAACAATAAACTAACTCGTTCTTGCTCGGTATTCCAATGTGGGCTACACAATCTATACTCGAGAGGGATATGATGCTCATTCTTATCAATGATCTTTCCTCTTTTCACAAAGCTTTCAAAGTATGGACCGCCACAAAAGCTACATTTTTTGGCGCTAGCAAGATAATCTTTCAAATGCTCTGTTGTATCCTCAAGAATTGGAATCTGTTTTCGAACGATCGTACGTGCGGCGAGTTCCATAAGCGTGGGTGGAGAATGAGTAATGTCATGCACAAATTCTGATTTTAATGGACATTCCTCGGTACGAAGTTTACGTAAATACTGTAACCTTCCAAGTTCGGCGGGTAAAACCGTAATTGGATTCTCACGAACATCCAAATTCACAAGCGTCTTGATTTCTCCAATTTCAGGTGGTAACTCGGTAAGCTTATTATTTTCAAGCAATAAAGTACCAAGTTTTTTGAGGGAACCAATAGACGATGGTATGTAAGTTAATTGATTTTCTGATAATCGAAGTTCAACTAGCTTATGTAAAAATCCAATCGTGTCAGGAATGTATTTCAATTTATTCTTGGACAAGTCGAGTTTTGTCAGATTTTTCATATATCCAATTTCTGCCGGTATTTCCGTCAATTCATTACAACATCTAATTAAAATGAAAGGTAAAAAAAAAAAAAAGGATCGGTTAAATTTTCTCGAGGAATTTTGATGTTCCTGACTTTCCTAAACTATTCTAATTTCCCTTTGACCTACTTTTTTCTTCCCCAAAAACCTGAAATACTTACATTTGCAGACAATTTGTAATATATAGAAAGCAGATATTTGGAGACAGTTTGACCAACCCAAGAGAACAGAGCCCAATATTTTTCAAATTTGGTAATTCGCTGAACATAATTTCGCTTAGACCACCATGCGCTTCTCTTAAATCATCAGGTGTCCCGACCGTTCCATGAAAACATGATTGGTCATCACCGTGATGGGTATGTGAATGCGTCCAAGACATGTTGTCATCATCAGCTTTTCCATTTCCATCTAATTCCATTACTTCTGGGGAAGTATCAGTTACCGTGGTTATTACGGATGCTGTTTCTCCAAGAGTGAGATGACTTGACATGTTCTGCAATTGATTATTGAATTCATGAAGCTCACTTAAAAGTGGGTCCGAACTATCCGAAGGTGGATGCATATTAGGTCTTATTGTTGAAGGGTTTATGCGATGTCGTTTATGAGCCTTTACGGAAACGTAGCCGAAAGCTAAAGACGCTTGTTCTTTTGTCAATTGTCCTCCCATTTTTTTTTTTTTTTTTTAAAAAAAAAAAATTAATTAAATTATTTTTGTGGGGTGTATATATATATATGTGGAAATATATATGGAATGACTTTTTTTTTAAAAAAAAATCTAATTCAAAATTTATTATATATATATGACAAAGATGTAAACTCTAACTATTGTGCGTAAATATTATTAAAAATTGATTTCGAAGGAATGCTTTTTATACTCCGAACCAACTATATAAAGTATTTATTATTATTACTTAATATTGTTTAATAATATCGCTTTTTTTTTTTTTTTTTTTTTTTTTTTTTGTTGTAGTGGTGGTAGGTAGTAGTTTCCTTCGTTACTTTGTCTTGTTTGATAATGATAATGAATGAAAGAAACAGGAAAGTTGTGGCTGGTACTAAATAATGAGGTAAAAACTAAAAAAAAAAAAAAAACAAAAAAAAAAATGATGTTTTATTTCTCTTTTTGGAGAAACTTGTTGAACGGAAATAGTATTAACAAAGTTTCAACCAAATTATTGTAATATTTAAAGGTTAACAGGAAGCATTATTGTTTCAGGGTCAAGTAAAACTAACAAGGGTGTCTTTTTGAGTTAAATAGCGGGAAAGTTTGATGAGAAAAAAAAAAAAAGAAAAAAAAACGGAGATAGGGTCAAAAGTATTAAAGGGTACTCGTTTGCTTTTCGATGTTCAACAACAAAAGCACAAGTTTATTATTATAAGCTCGAGAAGCAAAGAAAAAAAAAATTTTTGATCTTTCTTAATTAAAGAAAAAAAGGGGGGATGATTAAGGGTGGGGTAAGTTAGAAAAGGGGAGTTGTAACAACAAAAAATGTACATATGATTAAACAAACTGTATGTTAATAACAAAACTATTCCTACTACCTACAATTTAAATAAAATAAAAATTGATTGGTTCAATTACATTTAGTACCTTATGTGTGTAAATTGTGTAAATATACATTTATTTATTTGTTTGCTACACCGAATGACAACCTTTATTAAGTATGATTTTTACATTGATAGGTTCATTTGACGTTCAAATTCCGTTACGTTTATTTTAGCCGAGGGGAGGAATATCATTCAATAAAAATAAATTTAGTTTATAACTAACTTAACAAAAAATTCGAGGGGACAAAATTAAGTAAAAAAATTATTCCACCCCCAAAAAAAAAATTCCTCAAGTTGAAGGACGAAATAAGCAGGGTATTGTTCCTGATTATTCATTACATTGTATCGATTTTATTTTTAAAAAGGAACTGTGCGACAAAATGGTTTGGTTGTCGACTAAATTTAGATTTGATTTAATAATTTCCTGAATTTTTTAAATATGATACCGTTTTTGGTTTGATCCACCTGCTATTTTTTTTTTATATATATCCGAGCATTTAATCAAAAAGAACCTTCTCTAATTATGGTGTGGCTTAAAAATTTATATTTTGTTTTGTTTGATATCACGCTTTTTTCAAACTTATCCTAGTTATTTGATATTAAATGTTGATCAAACAATGCACATAATGCATTAATTTGAATTATTTGGTATTATCAATTTTTTTTAATATTTGATGGGTAAAAAATGTAAATTATTTTTCATGGAATATATATGTACAGTACATGGAATTTGAAAATCTTTGTTTGTTGGTCACGTGCCATCGAGAATCAAACGTCAAAAACGTACGTTTATAATCTTCGTTATTTATCTCGATCTGCCGAATTATCGTAAACTCCGTGTAACAATTAAGGAAAATTTTTTATTTTTATTTTGAAGGAAATCTTAAAGTACATCTATAAATCCTTCATTTTCGATTCATTCTCAGATTTAATCTCTGTTCATACTTATTTATCAATGTCTTAAAGATGCCGGTTGAATTATTATTTTAAGCAGATTTTTTAGGGGGGCTACAACGAACATTGTCAACAATTGTAGCTTCGTCAACCAAAAAGTTCTATATAACATAATAAATTATTAAGTGAGATGGCGCATTTTATACGGAAAAAGCCTCAAATAAAGATAATTCTTCGCATTACAATAATCGCTTACTCGAAAAATATTTAAAGTTTAAGATTTAATGATCTACATTTGATCAAACAAATAAAAACCACATCTACCTCTGCAAAAAGGCGGAAAATAATCAAAATTAAAAATTTATCACGGAAAATTACATGATTCGATATAAAACGGGTAAAAAAAAAAAGAAAAAAAACTATTTTTTTTTCCCCATTGATGAACAATGGTAATAAAATCGAGCAAGCCAATTAAATCCCCAAGTTTCACGATTATCATTTCGCTGGATAATCGAAGAAAATAACAAAATGTTTAGCAATCCGCAATTCTATCGATTCTATCCAAAATTTATCTTAAAAAATATAAAGCTCAATGTTCCATATAATAACATACATGTAATGAATAAATGGAAACGTTAAAATTATTTAAATAATAAAATAAATTAATAACTTTACAATCTACCTACTTATTCTCATACATTTAAAATTAAAAGATTACTTTAAAAAGAAAAAAACTCTATTCGGCATTTTCTGTAATTTCTTGGGCAACCGTTTCATCTCTCATTTGTTTCAAAAATGGCATTAAATTAGTTCCCCCAGTACCCTTAATGATCTCGATAGATTCGGTACTTGTTGCTTTTCTAATTACCTTATCACCATTCTTGGTTGTAGCGTTGGTGATTGCCTTCTTGCTTATTGCAACAGTTATTGCTTCACTATTATCAATCAAGTCTAATAATAAAAAAAAAAAAAAAAAAAAATTTAATGAATGGAAACAAATTCGAAACGATACATGAATAATAATAATAATAATTAAACTATATTTACCTTTATTTACAGTAGGAGTGCCTTCCTTTGCGTTGAAATGCAAACCGCCAACTCTTTTATGTGATTGAATTACAATATAGACGCTCACAATTTGTAAATGCTTATTTCTAAAATTTTTCATTTGAATCAAGCATTCATTATACGCCTTAACTAAATCACTAGCTTCCTTAGTTTCGCGTAATAATTTCGCGTCTTCATCTTCGTCTGATAATGATGTATTAGTACTTGAATCGTAATTAGCATTGGATATTATATAATTTCGAATATTTGCTATCTTAGCAAGGTCTTCAAGAAATTTACGATGATTTCCTGGGATATTCTGGCGAATACTGTGAAGGTAAGGTTGTTGAGGTTTAGTATGTCCATTAGTTGCATAATGATGAATCTCGTGTTTTTGAGAGTATCCATTAAGACATGAGGAATAATGGTGACAAGAATTCTTATAAAAATGGCCATTCTCTGAAGATGTGTGTCCATTTGCGTTCGGTCTAACACCCGTTGGATAGTGTTCTATATTAAGCGCAATATCAAGAGCTTGGATTAAAGCACTTTGACCTGCACTACCTCCTATATATTGCCGATAAGTCGGATTCCCATTCTCGTCATCTTCATCTACTCCCTCATAAATTAACCCTTGCGGCAAAAGATCTTCATTCTTCCAACCAGAGAGGTATGGTCGTACCTTCCAGTAAAAGACATACGGATCACATTTTTCGAACATCCTTTGTAGGGTTGCGTTAATATCAAAAATAGTGGAACTGATAACTTTCAACGCGTTAATCAATTGTTCGTCATTACCATCATAAACAGCTTGAATCGCAGTCATAATACCCGTAAGAGCGCGCCCACTGAATCCTTCAATGGCGGTTGTAACTAGGTAAAACCAAGATTCATCCAACGTGTTTGAAAACGTAATTAATGTAGCAAGATTGCTAAAGATATAAAAATTTATTTTCAAATTCAATAGAGAAGGATGTTGAATTTTTTTTTTTCATTAGAATTAACTAATATATATTAAAACTAGACTGAACAAGATGTATGAATAGATATGAACTTTAAATCAAACGGTTCATTTGAAAATAGTAAGCGCCAATTCCATGTCACGACTGCAGCATGATTACATATTGGCGCGACATCAAGATAATCTGATACTTTCACCCAAGGAATTGCAATATTAGCCGGTAACCTCTACAAGTGGAATCAATTTACACATAAATTAAAACTATAGAAATTAGAACGCGGTAAAATAAAAAAAAAAAAATAGAATTTTACTAGCCTACACACATCTGAAATTGGTTCGTACTTTCCCCACACATATCCATGTGCTAAAAAGGACAAAACTAAGAAAGCACGACGATATTCTCCTTTAGTTTCTAGGCGATCAGTTTTCAAAATCGGCAACTAAATTTCACGAAATATAATTGATATTTGGTTAGTTAACAAGAATGTTTGCGAATTGGAAATTATGTTTTACATTTCGAACCTTTTTAACATATTCCCTTAAACGACCGATCAACATCAATTCATGAAATATATCAATCAAGGTTTCCCATGGCTCATAGTAAGGATTAGTTAGACGTTGTAATGGTGGAGTAGAGGGAAGAAACCCACTCAATGGACTTATATCATAATCTTCAAGGCGAGGCAAATTGAAAGTACTTTCACTCATAATTGGAACGATACGGTTTGGAGCCATAGTGAAAGCAACAACGGGTTTTGAATAAATAAAAAACAGAAGAATAACAAGAAGAGACAGTAACAGGGAATATTTTTAAAAATCGTTGATGATATCAAGAAAGTGATCTAGTCCAGCAGACATCATTAAAATTTGATCTTGATTTGTAAAAAAAAATACGCTAAATTATTCAAAAATGATATAAATGGTATAGTCCAATCTATTGTGCAGTGGAACACAATATTATTTATTCGATAACATGTTATTTTAGACCACGTGTAACATGACTTTAACGAAAAATTGATCAATATTTCACAATGATATTAAAAATAATCCAAAAGATAAACACAAACAAAAAAGAGCGTTCGGCTAGACTTGATTTTAGAACCAGACCTGGATCACTTAAAATTTTTTTAACAAATGATTGTTACTAACTAAAAAAAAATTTTTTTTTATTTTTATTTACACATAAATTGGTTTTCTATGGCATAGAACAGAAAGAACAGCCGACAACCAATACATATATATAAAAAGTAATTTCCACGGTGATAAAATATTTGACCGTTGTGAAATCATAAGCCCACCACAGCTGCTTATAGACTAATTAATTTGCTAAAATGCTCTCATAAAGAGCAAAGATCGCTCCAGCTCCAGCTCCCGCATATATTAAGTTTTCGTGAATAAAATCACGAACATCCTCAGTCCAATCAAAGTTTCCGTAAGAAACCGAAAAAATGATATACTGAAATACGGAAAAGGCTAAAGGACTATATACATGTCTTTGTGGTTCAAAATTGATGATATATGAAAATCCAAGTGGTAATAGCAAAAGATAAAATATGAAAGAAATCAATGGACGCCAGAATCGATGCCATTCCAAAAGAATAAAGATATCTGGAACACGTATATAATAAATATGAGCTTCGTTCGATTCGGATTCAAAGAAGTTTGGGATAGAAACTGATGTAACCTTATAGAAAAATCAATGATGATATTAGGTTGAGAATAGGTACATCATATCGTAGACAAAAAAAAAAAGTCAAAACGAAAATAAAAGTAAATTCACCTCATAATTCCATTCTATTGCACAATATAAGAACACTGCAAGTTCCAGACATATAACGGTTTTACAAAAAGTGTGAGCATTAGAAACATTCTAAACATACCGTTAAAGTCAGAAATTGAATTAATTAACGAACGTTATAATTAAAGGATTCTCTTAACATCTCATATGAGAAAAAAGAAACTTACTTTTCTTAATTGAAGAAGAGAATCATGAACAGTATTGACTCTAAAGATCCTATCGTTTGGTAAACCTCGTGTATTACTAGGTTCAGCTATATCTGAATCTTCTGAAGTATGTGGTGTTCTATATGTCGCATTAACAGCAACTTCCTGTTGTGATGATTCGAAAGTCAATTGGTTGCTAGTATATCGTGTTGAATCTTCCAAAAGGGTTTCTCGTTTGATCACCTTAATTTCACTCTCTGATGACACTGATTGATTTTCTTCGTCTGAAGAATGCCTGCAAAATTTGAGAAAGATTTAATAGACGATGATGATAAGTGATTTTAATGTTTATATGAAATACGAACCTATCTCCATTCGGGTGTGACGAAATTTCTTTTAAATCTTTCCGTGATCTAGACCTACTTTTTTTACGGTCTGACCGTCGCGGCGTTACTTTGCCTAAAGAAACATCTTCAAGATTTTCTTCTTCTTCATGTTTGTTAACCTCAGAACTTTCCAAGTGTATTCTTTTAAATAAAAATAAGCAAAGGACAAATATTTATTATTTTAAACACAGTTACATTCATCAGGCTTGGTAACGATTTGCAACTAAATACCTTATCCTATCTTCAAGTTCGCCGCGTAGCCCTTTTGTATTTAAACCTAGGTCTGAGGCGATTTCTGAAATCAATTTAGTTTAAACCATAGAAATAAGATATAATATTTCGTATCATTTCAACATAAGATAAATACCTTTTAATTCGTTTTTCCTTTTATTTCTTAAAGAGTTTGGTGTGATGGACATTTTTTTGTAGGTAATTTAATTACAGTGGAAAAAATGAATTTATGTTTATGTTATTTGTTTTTGTGTATTTATGAAAGAAAACAAAAAAATTTTTTTTTTTTTTTACTGCAATGCTATTAAAAAATTGAGGGTCAATATTTATATAATGAATTATTTGCATGGTAATATCCGGGTATAATTAGGAATATACCCACGTAGGCTTACAATACATTTGTTTTGTCGATCGTTTTTTTAAATTTAAATTTAAATTTAACCCAAACTTTATGTTTAATTTAGGATAGATATTAACTTAAGTTTGCTCGTTCATAGAAGGTATCTCACCTTAGAATGAGTCATGGGATGAGTCATGTAAATAAATAATTGTAAATCGCGTATTAATAAAAGATTTCGAAGTCGCGTTAACCTTAAAATTACAAGATTAATAGCTTAGAAAATATTTTTTCATAAGAAATCAGTTGTTCGACTGAACTATCTAAAGGAATAAACGCTCACTTTTAGATAAAAAGATTTTATTCGGGGTCGTCTTTGCGATCACGAGTAAATCTCTTGATTCGTTTCATAAATATAACCAAAAAATGGGTAATTTAGAAAAAAAAGATCAAAAAATAAAAAGATTGACAAATCACGAGTAAAATTGATTAAGAATCTGCTTGCTTGTTATACACATTCCATAGCGAATGGTAAAATGTTTTCTTCCGAAAAAGAATAAAGTGATGTACACAATTAAGAAAAACATACCAAATCATGTGACTTATGTTTGTTAGTTATAATTTAGTAAGTACAATTTAGACCATAGTAGTACATATATTAATTATCACGAGCAAAAAAACTATGCTCAACACGTATAAACTACCTTCAATCTAGAAAGAAAATGGAAGAAGAATCAAACTCGTCGTCGGCTCCTAGCGGCCCAACTGTTGATATCAATGTCACGGGCAGTAGTCAACAGACGAGTCTAGCACCACGTTCTACCACTCCAAATATTCTAGGTCGTAGCTCGCCAGCACCACAGATTAATAATTCTCTTGTACCGCCCGTTACTCTTCCTCGACGTCATTCCATTTACGGTACTGGCGAAGATAGAATTGTTTTGGATATAGGTAGTCTTTATATTAAAGCTGGTTTTAGCGGAGAGTCAAGACCCAGACATATTGTACCAGTTTACGCTGGAAACATGAAATTCCATTGGGATCCTGAATTTAATGGCAGTGGTGGAGTTGTAAAAGCATGTGGTGAAAGTTGTAGGGTGATCGGAGAGGTGAGATATTTTAGGATGTTGCTGATTACACTTGATCTGTTGTAAGCACTTACATATTACAGTTTGCAGAATTATTTGATTTGGAAATCGGTCAGTATCCTGATGGATTAGATGCTCTTTACGATCGATTGGCTCATTATTTAAGAGAAATTTATTTCAGGTCTGCTATTCAAGATCACAATGATTATTCACGACGTTACGTTTAATTATTATAACTAGTTAGTTTTGCATTTGGTACTTAGGTACCTTTTGACGGATCCTAAACAACGCAAGGTAGTTTTATGTGAATCTCCAATGCTTCCCTTGAAATTGAAACAATTAATTGCAAAAGTATTATTTGAGAATCTACAGGTATGTAAATTCGTTATTGTTGTTGATTTATAATTTTTTGATGATTTATTCGTTTAGTAATTTAATATAGGTTCCGTCAATTTCGTTCGCACCATCTCATATGTTGGCATTGTTGACAACAGGATGCACAACAGGATTGGTGATAGATGTAGGACATTTAGAAACCACTGTTCTTCCGGTAAATCTTTTAAAACCTTACAGTTTCCATCTTTAAAGAGTTGTGTAATGTATGTTCATTTATTATTTATTTATTTATCTATTTTTTTATTCTTTAGACATTTTCTGCTCGTCCTTTGACTCCTTTCATACGTACAACTCCGTTAGCTGGTCGTGCATTAACAAAACGACTTAAAGAATTGTTGTCAGCTTATGGAAGTATGATAATTCCACCTTCTCAGGAACAAAAACCAGTTCACGCCAAATATTTGACGCCCGCAGTTCTTGAAGATATTAAAACTCGATTTATTTTTGTAAGTCCAATGATGATTTCTGAAGCATCAATTGGCATTGCCGAAAAAACTTTGGTGGAAGATATGGAGAACAAATACGCCACTGTGGTTTCGACCTCAGATGTTTTGTATCCCTTTACGATAAGCAAACAAGGACGAGATCGTCAAATTGGAACTTTAGTAGTTCCGGGTTGGATCAGGGAACGTTGTGCAGAAGTGTTATTTGAAGGAGATGAAGATGAATCCAGTGTGGTGGGATGTGCGTTAGAATGTTTGTTAAAGGTTAGTTGGATATAATTTTTATTTTTATTTTATTTATTTTTTTGATGTTTTCCTCTTAATTGTTTTTTATCATAGACTCCGATCCACCTACGTGCTCCTCTTGCTTCGGCAATTCTTCTTGTCGGTGGCACAACTTTGCTTCCAAATTTTCAATCTAGATTTGGACATGAGCTACTTCGTACTTTGAATACCGATAGAAGATTTAAATCTTTAAGTAAACTTGTTGGTCATATTGGATTCTTGGAAGACAATGGTAGTGGAAAAGTATTCGTAGCGAATTGTCGGACTTGGGTTGGTGGTAGGCATCCTAATCATAAAATCATAATATATAAAATTTTTTTTTTTTAATTAAACAAAAATTTAATCATTCTTTATTAGGTTCATTAATTGGGTCTCTTAAATCTACTGTAATTGAAATCTCTAGAGATAAATTTAATGGTCAAGTTCCAGATTGGACGACAGCCAATTTATCCAAATCGGATGAAACCGAAGTTGAAGAATAATCCTGTAGATTAATTAATTTATGATAAATCAGATTTGTAGTTATTTATATAAATTTCGGAGGACATTTTATTCGAATCTCAGAATCATATATTTTTTTTTTAAATGAAATTTTTTTTTTATATACATATTTATTTATTTATTTATTTATCTCATATTGCATAAGTTTGAATTATATTACAAATAATGTTCAAATTAAAATATTATAAATTAATTTGCATTCAAAATTAAAAATTATATATTTAGTTATTATTAAGTAAATTTTCGTAATATGTTTTTGTTTCCTAAATTTATTTAACGAAGATCAAACATCATTATCTACATCCATATCACCGACATTATCTATGCTTGAACCACTTCCTCTTCTCCGTTTTTGCCGACCACGCGGTGAATAATCAGTATCTTCTTGTTTAATCCGAAGTTCTGTATTATGATTTTCCTCTTTAAGATTATGATCATGTTCACAATGTTCGATCAAATATCGTCCTAGAAATTCACAAGGATTCTGTGGTCTTTTAAAGAATTACGTAAAATGTTTTTTTTTAAAAAAAAAAAATTTATGCAAAGGCAATTTAACAAGAACATGAAAAAATAAATCGAGAAAAATCAATTACCTTTCGCGAACCATTTTCTTCATTCCTGACAATAAATTAGGTACTACGGTCTTATTCAAATAATCCCTAACCGCAGTCGAAGAATGTGGGTGACGCATATTTAATCTCTGTATTTTATCTCTTTCCTCATCAACCACTTCGCCGAATTGGTCGTCAAATTTGAGTGGGGATGGTTGGTCTTCTGATGGCTCATCGCCGGTTATATCTACATCAATGTCCTCGCGTTTAATTGGGGATTGACTGTCTGCGTTTAAAATGTCCTTTTCAATAAAAAAAAAAAAAAAAAGAATTCAGAATTAATTGATTTAATTTAAATAATAATGTAATTGTGTGAAATAATTACCCGTATGCTTCTAACACCACCAACAGCACGTTGACTTTCATATTCATTGTTGCTTGGAGAAGAGTCCGCGTACGCCGAATTTTCGGGATCATCTCGTTCTGATAATTTTGAACTGTCAGTCTGCCTTACCGAGTATGAGGAAGTAGATTTGTACGTGTCCGAATCTCTAGAGTACATTTTTAAGATATTTATAATACTAAAATTTTTTGTTTAACATGAAAATAGTTTGATCGTCCAAATCTAACCTAAAATGATGTGGCATTATTTTAAAAAATTTAACGTTTAAGGTTCATACATTCACGTGGAGTTTAACCAAAGGTTCAAAGCTTATTTTCGAATTATTCCGAAATTGGTTAATACATTTTATTTAGTATAAAAAAAAAATTTTTTTTTTTCTGTTCAAAGTTGATTCTATATTCGTCGATCAGATGGAATCTCTTTCTCGAAAAAAAAAAAAAAAAAGAAATGATATCAACTCCTCGTTACTTAATAAAGTCATTGCATTTTCGCAAGGCTAACATATCATTAATTTCAGTAAAATTTTATCCTATCCTTACACAAAATCGTTATTATAATTTCAATAAGAAAGGTTTAAATAATTTAATAGATAAGACACGATATAATTGTTATTCTTTCTTTTCGGACAAGAACACACTACCGCAACAAAATAATGATAAAAAAACTTTTACTGAGCGTTCCACGATAAATACCCTTAAAGAGAATACGAGTCCCTCAACAGCTTCTTCACTTTTATCGACTTTCCAAAACTCTGGAACAATATCACCTGTTAAAAAACAATCTTTAATTGAACGGATCATTAACACGATAAAGATTCAAGATAGTCAGCATTTGCTTAATTCTGCTTCACAAGTTTTGAATGAATTTACAGGGTATTCCGCAGTCGAAAGATTGAAAGAAAAGGTGATTCAACAGGGTAAATTTTTTTTTTTTAAGATCAGGCGAATACGCTATGAATGATACTCACCCACATATTATTTTAGAACAAGAATTTGTCACTACACGTCAACGCCTCGCGTCCGCCAAATTAGCATATGAGGAAGCAGTTACAAAGCGATCCACTACGCAACGCGAAATCAATGACCTACTTCAGCGAAAGCATCAATGGTCTAATGATGATGTTGTAAGGTTCACGGAACTTTATCGAAATGAGCATTTAAATGAACAAGCGGAAAATTTTGCCAAAGTGGAATTTCGTAAGTGGGAGAAACAAGTTGAAAAGGAGTACTCCGATCTAACTAGATCTATTATGATGCGTTATCATGAGGAGCAAGTCTGGAGCGATAAAATCCGTAGCGCATCAACATACGGCACAATTGCTCTTATGACACTAAATGTTATTTTGTTTATTTGTGTACAATCCATTTTCGAGCCTCATAAAAGACAAAAATTAGCTGATAAATTTGAAGAGTTACTTATCAAGAAATCCGATGAAGATGAGAAAAAATTTGAGATTAAAATTTTTCGTCCATTATATCAAAGGTTTGAACAGTTGGACAAAATGCTAAATGTTGGAAAACAGAATGTTTCTGAAGTTGAAATTGAGACGAAGGAAAATGACATTATACCTCCTTCATCAGAAAGCACGTTGCAAGAAGTTGAACCCTCCAGAAAGGAAATTATACTCACTCGTAGCGAATTGGACAAGATCGTAATTTTATCTACGCTGATAGGAGCTGGAGTGGGATGGCTATTATGTTTTATATTTTCAGAACGTTTCAATAGATGATTATAACGAAAAACTATTATTTAATAGGTAATCTTATGATTATCATGATATAAACCTATTCATTTAGAATTAGTCAACATGTTTATTTTAATTAAAAAAAAAAAGAAATCTCTTTATTTTCTAGAATTAGGTTGAATTTTTTTTTTTTGTATGTATCACAGCATAATTAATAAATCGAATCTGATCCACTATATTAAACTAATAAAGTAATCGTGTGAGTGTTTTAGACAGAAAAGGTAATTAAAAAGATTTACCGAAAAATTGAACGACGTGAATAAGAATAAAAAAAAATTTACCCTAACTACTTCTGTTAATAAGGTGCTTGTGTAAAAAAAAATATTTGGAGAATCTAATTAAACATGTTTCTCGAAGTCTCATTTTCATAAAGAGCGATGGTTATTTTTTAATCAATTTCATTCAAACATATGAAAATGTATGAATCAATAATATCGTGTTGGTACTACTGTTTTGTACGTGGATTTTTGTTCGTACAGTTGTTATTTGGTAAAATTATAATCGGATCGTTATCACATGCCTATCTCTCCTTGTTGGTTATAATTCTGCGTTATCATTCAATTGTGTATTATTTATTAATTATATATAGTTCTTAACAAATTTACAGTTCATCATCTTATTATTATTTTTTTTTTCTTTTTTTTTTTTTTTTACACTTTCATCTCCAAGACTGAACTCCTAAAAAAAAATACGATTACTGATGTCTTCTGGTAATACCATAAATCCTTACCCCATATCAGCCAATGGGCATAAGGAGGTACCTACTCAGACTCCGAGAACTAATAACAAGGAGCATACTCAACAATCTTCAAAAAATCAAAATTCTCACACCTCTTCTGTAAAAAAGAAAGGTGTGAAAGATTTTGAATTCGGTAAAACACTTGGTGAGGGTTCATACTCTACGGTATGCGGAAATTCTCGAAGATCGTGTTTTTTTTTTATTTTATACCTCCAGGTTCTTTTAGCCTGATGTAACTATTGCTTGTTTTTGTCTCTTTTTTTATCGACTCCATAGGTTGTCGCTGCCAGGGACCGTTCAAACAATCGTGAATACGCAGCAAAGATTCTTGATAAGAAGCACATAATCAAAGAGAAAAAAGTCAAATATGTCAACATTGAAAAGAATACGCTTAATAAAATGAATCACCCCGGAATTGTACGACTTTATTACACATTCCAAGATCCAGATAGTTTATGTATCTTTTTTTTGGTCTTGATATGTCGCGTCTCTTCTCTTTTTAATTATTATTTAGTTATTTGCGATGTCCTTAACTTTTTATTCATTAGATTTCATATTAGACCAGGCAAAAAATGGTGAACTCCTAACCTTCATCAAGAAGGTGATCACTCGTCAATTATTCAACCAATATATCTATTTTATTTTTATTCAAATCATTCAAATCATTTAACACGTAGAATTGTTATTTTATATTTAGCTCGGTTCTTTTGACATTAATTGCACTCAGTTTTATGCTGCTCAGATTATTTCAGCAATAGAGTACATGCATTCACAGGGTGTAATTCATAGGTAACGAATATTCTACCAACGTAAATTTATTTAATTTGTTAATAATTGATAATTAACCTTAAATATTTGGCAGAGACCTCAAACCTGAAAAGTGAGTAATGTTTGCATAGCTTATTAAAAAAAAAAAAAAAAAAAAAAAAATGCTGACTTCTCTCATCAAACAAATTATTTTATTAAAGTATATTATTAGATGACAAAATGCACATCAAAGTCACTGATTTTGGTACAGCAAAAATATTGGAACAAAATGCGGATGGTGAGAAAGGTAGACACATTAGAATTATTAAAATTGTTTACAAGTTTAATGTATTGCTTCTTCAATTTTTCATAATTCGTAATAGATGATAGGGCCAACTCGTTTGTCGGTACCGCAGAATATGTTAGTCCTGAGTTATTAAAAGAAAAGGCAGCGTGTAAAAGGTTAGCATGCAAATAAATCAAATATTGTTAATTTGTTGGATATTGCCTCATTTAATAATATTATATTTTGGCACCTTAGTTCGGATTTTTGGGCACTTGGTTGTATTATATACCAATTGATAGCAGGACGTCCACCATTTAAGGGAACCAATGAATATATGACTTTTCAAAGAATTGTTAATTTAGAATATTCGTTCCCCGAAGGATTCCCTCCGGTCGCACGAGATTTAGTTCAGAAATTATTGGTATGTTTTTAAATACGACGAATTTTTATGATTTTTTTATCATTGATTTTATAATCCTTTTTTCAATAATAGGTGTTAAATCCGTCAGAACGACTTGGTTCCGGCGGTCAAGCTGGAATTGATCAACTAAAAGCTCATCCTTTCTTCAATAACATAGATTGGGATGCACTATGGCAACTTCCTGCACCGCGTTTACTTCCTTATCTTCCACCAAATCCACAACATAATGATCCAGAGCTTCGAACAACCACAAATACATATTTACGCAAACTCTCTGGTCGTAGTGGGGAAACTTGCAATAGTCCCATTGCTACCGGTCTTAAACAAAATGATCCATTCAGATTAGAAAGTTGGGCGGGAGGAGATGACACATCAGATAAAGTAGATCCCGAAAAGGTTAAGAAGTTGGAAGAACAAAAGCGGTCATCTTCACAATGGTAAGAATCTTTGATTAAAATTACTTCATCGTTTTTCTTTATTGTAATCATAATATTGATTGTTACTTTCAAAAAAAAAAAAAAAAAAAAGGATTCCATTCCTTCTTAAATCCGAACTAATTATTAAAACGGGGCCAATCAATAAACGCAAAGGATTTTTTTCCAAAAAACGCATATTGATTTTGACTGATTTTCCGAGATTAATATATGTCGATCAGGAAAAGAATGTACAAAAAGGAGAAATATATTGGAGTTCTAGGATGGTTGTTGAATTAAAGAACAAAAGAAACTTCTTCATTCATACGGTATGTTTTGTCTATATTTGTAATTGCGTAAAAAGCTTTATTTGACATTGTTTACACTTTTATCTTAATATATGATATATAATCTGGAATATTTTTTCACAACCATAAAGTCTAAAGTATTTATTTAACTTATTTTGTATTTTTACTTATATATGATATATTGTCCACGTTTGGCAATAATTATTACTTTATTTTTTCTATTTTTAATAGCCTCGAAAAACGTATTATTTTGAAGATCCGAATAATACAGCGAATGACTGGGTCACCAAAATAAATGAATTGCTGGTCGCTAATTATGGTGAAATGTTCTAAGAAATTGGGAAAGGTTCTCTCTATAACTTTTATGTATTACTTGCTTGTATTAAATTAAAATTCATAAAATTCGTTTAACTGATTATTTATTGTAGCGTTAAGAATCTAATAAATTTATGGATGAATGGGCTGTTCGAGTGAGGTTCTTTCCTAAAAATTTAGGGGAAATATCTTCCAATAAGTGAATGATGGTTTTTTTTTTCCATCCTTTTATTTCTTGTATTTATTATTTTATTTTTTGTTATTCTTTTGTTCATAGCACATTTTCTTTTTTATGAAGTTCTTCTCCCTTTGAATCACTCCATATTACAAATACATTAGCATGCATCTTTTTACCCCTTTTTATATAAAAAAAAGAAAACATTTCCATCTTAAATGGTAATAATACCTTTGTATTATTGTTACAATTCTCATTGGTAATATTTATTAATCATAAACATTATTAATATTAAAAAAATTTTTTTTTGTTTAATAAAGTGACTTTTGTTTGATCCTTATCACAAAGTTAATACATTATATTGGAATCAAATTAATTAATTCATGATACAACGTATAAAAGATATCTCATTTCCTAAATACCTTTTTCTTTAAAAAATTTTAGAAATAAAAAAATTTTTTTTGATGAATTTTGAATATATCTCCGTGATTGAATCAGAAAAATTTAAATGTTGAGCTTAGTACGACGCCAATGACGACGTTTAGCGTTATATCTGTTAATTAAAAAAAAAAAAATTTTTTTTTATTAATATTTTCTGAATCGATTGTTTTGGAGTCAATGAAATTAATCGATTATATAATTACCGGATCGTGTTTCCAGTACGAAGACGAATCCATTGAGGAATTGGTCGATTCTGCTTTTGTTTTTTACCGAGAACTCGTTTAATTCTGAAAGTTTTGTGGGATGGCTAGTTATGATATATGTTATATTTATTAAATTTATGAGTTAGTCAAAGTAAATGGATATACCTATTTGATCTATTTTATATGATTAACATCAACTTTCTTATTTTCCTGAATACCTTCAAGTTAAACATACTTCCAATTGTAACAAATCTACCTTCTTACAAGAGAATAATTTCAATTCATTCCTTTTATAATTATATATTTAACTATATCCAAATTTAACATAATGTATCTATCTATCTATATATATACATTATAAAACAAAAAAAAAAACAAAAAAAAAAAGAGAGAAAAACCGACACTCCAAACTTTATTATCAATATAATCGCTCCAACGAATTATAATATCAAAAAAAACAAAAAACCTACCATGGCGAAACAAGTCTTTTTCAATAGATCTTCTTGTTTATACACCAAAGAAAAGGGAAGAAATATATAATAATTTTTTTTAATTTTGATTTATATTTGGAATTTTTTTTTTTTTTTTTTGTTTGCCAGATTTCGAATGATCAAATATCATGTGATAATTCATGTGATGGACTACGGTAAAATTCTTTAAGATATAAGGCTTCATTCCTAAATTGTCTGATTACATTTTTATACGTCATTGCTGTCAACCAGCAAGAAATTCCATGGAAACACTTATCAATTTAAATATCTGCGATTTTCTCGGCAAATTCCATTATCGTTGTAAAATCTGAAGAAAATTAACTACAATTGATCTATTGATTCGATAATTATTCCAAAAAAAGGATAATCTGATTTTTGATAAGGGATTAGAGATTCCAAAAAATTTTTATTTTTTAAACATCGTTCGAAGGTAGTACAAAATCATACCATGAGAAAAGTATATAAATCCGCAGACGAGCGCTCTTCACTTCCTTAACCTTTTTTTTTCATATAAAAAAAAAAAAAAAAAAAAAAATCAGACAATTTTCTCATTATGTCTTTCGGTGATATTAAGACAAACCTTGAATGGATTTCTACTTTGTCGATTGATAAGATCAAGGAGAATATACGAAAAACCTCAATTATCTGCACTATTGGTACGACATATTCTTTAACCTCATCGATTTATTTTGATAATCACTAAATTTATTTTTGAAAATAGGTCCAAAAACCAATAACCTTGAAAGTATCAAACAACTGCGTAATGCCGGAATGAACATTGTTCGAATGAACTTTTCACATGGTTCTCACGAAGTAAGTATCATATCTTATTTGACCTTTGATTAACACAATTTTAGATATTAACTCTTATCAGTACCACAAATCTGTTATCGATAACACGCGTGAAAATGCGAGACGTAAGTTGGATGATTTTTGATTTCTTTTAAACTGATCAATTCAACTAATATGATCTACGTTGTCAATTAGTGTACCCCGGTAGACCTGTCGCTATTGCTCTTGATACGGTAAAGTATTGCACTTGTGTTTTTTTTCTTAATAAAGCTTGAGTATTAATCCTCTATTTATATACGCAGAAAGGACCTGAAATTCGAACTGGTGTTATGCGTGATAATGTTGAGCTTCCAATTTCTGCAGGACATGTAATGATTTTTAGTACAAATGATAAGGACGCTGAATGCTGTGATTTAAATGTAATGTATGTTGATTATAAAAACATTACCAAAGTAATCGAGGTCGGAAAGAGAATTTACGTAGATGATGGAGTACTTTCATTCGAAGTACTTGAAATTCATGAAGATCATGTTAAAGTAAAAGCCTTGAATAATGGTAAATTATGTAGCAAGAAAGGAGTTAATTTACCTAATACTGATGTAGACTTACCGGCAGTTTCGGAGAAGGATAAAAGTGACATAATATTTGGGGTGGAGAATAAAGTTGACATGATATTTGCATCATTTATTCGCACCGGACAAGATGTTCGTGATATTAGAAAGATTTTAGGCGAAGAAGGGAAATCCATTAAAATCATTTCCAAGATTGAAAATCAACAAGGTGTAAATAATTTTGATGAGATCCTTAAGGAATCTGATGGTATTATGGTAGCTCGTGGTGATCTAGGTATTGAAATACCCGCTTCTCATGTTTTCGTTGCCCAAAAGATGATTATTGCTAAATGTAACATCGCTGGTAAACCTGTCGTTTGGTAAGTTTTTTTTTCAATGTGAGAGAAAAGGAGAGGAAACTTTAAATTATATATTAACCCTACCTTTTTTTTTTCATTTTGACTATAGCGCCACACAAATGCTCGAGTCCATGACTGTAAATAATATTGCATTTAGAAATAAATTTTTTTTGTTTATTTGAATAACTTGACAATTTTTCCATTTTACTTTATAGTTCAATCCAAGACCTACGCGAGCTGAAGTCAGTGATGTTGCCAATGCTGTACTAGATGGTGCCGACTGTGTCATGCTTTCTGGTGAAACGGCCAAGGGATCTTATCCCATTCAAGCTGGTAATATATGATTAATTAATATTTTGTGTTTAGTTACACGTGCTTACCTCTTTATATTTTTTTCCTGCCTTTAAAGTGCAAATGATGCATGACACATGTGTCATTGCTGAATCAGTAATTTGTTATCCACCTTTATTTAATGAAATAAGAGCAATGGCACCTACACCAACAGAAACAACAGAAACAGTAGCATCGGCCGCGGTATCCTCTGCACATGAACAAAATGCTGGATGTATTCTAGTGTTATCAACAAGCGGCGATACGGCAAGACTTGTATCAAAATATCGTCCAAGATGTCCAATCATTACAGTGACAAGGATTGAACAAACCGCAAGACAAATTCATCTTTCTAGAGGATGCTATCCTTTTATTTACGATCAACCTAGGATTGATGATTGGCAGGAAGATGTCGAAAATAGAATTAGATGGGGTATACATCGTGCTTCTGAACTCAAGATACTAAAAAGTGGTGATCCTGTTATTGCTATTCAAGGTTGGAAAGGAGGTATTTGTTGTTCGAGAAATTTTTTTTTTTCTTTTCCCCTATTGATGAAAGGATTCAGAAAATATTTATATATTTATATATTTATTTATTTATTTATTTCTCGTTATTTTCTTTCTAGGTCTCGGAAATACCAATACATTGCGTATCTTAGCTACTCCTTGATTCCATATACTTTTTACCTTCAAATCAATGATTCAACATTAATGTATATTATTTAATGTATATTTGTATTTATTATGACATATTTTAAGTTCATGTTTGCTCTATTTTATGACACTGAAATAAAAATTTTATTGTCGTGTTCTCATTAATTCGAGTTAAGTTTGGATATCCACAGTAGTTTCATTCCTTTTAACCATTTTCAACAAATTCACAATACAAATCTCGTTTGAAAAATGAAAAAATGGAATCAAGAATATCAAATTTAATAAATAAATTTATGAACAAAACATCCGCAGGTAAAACGACGAAAATCATTCAGGATTAACAGTTGTACTTTTTGATCCAATTAAAAACGAGAGTCATAGAACAAAAGTTACTTTATTAGGAGGATAA